GGACGGGGCACAAGGAGCCAGGGGGGGGACGGGGCACAAGGAGCCAGGGGGGGACGAGGCACAAGGAGCCAGGGGGGGACGAGGCACAAGGAGCCAGGGGGGGACGAGGCACAAGGAGCCAGGGGGGGACGAGGCACAAGGAGCCAGGGGGGGACGAGGCACAAGGAGCCAGGGGGGGACGAGGCACAAGGAGCCAGGGGGGGACGAGGCACAAGGAGCCAGGGGGGGACGAGGCACAAGGAGCCAGGGGGGGGACGAGGCACAAGGGACCAGAGGACGAGGCACAAGGGACCAGAGGACGAGGCACAAGTGCCAGGTGATGGCTCATTGAAGGTTTACAACATGGCCTGAAGTGAGCTCTATCGTTTCCGGGAAGTTGAGGGCGGAGACTGAAGAGGAGGCTGGAGGAAGAAAAGGAAGAATTGGAGGTGAATAAATGGCAGAGTAAGGAAGAGAGAGAAAAAAGGGAATTAGGAGGGAAACAATAATGAAATAGGGAGATAAATGGAACAAAGCAAGAGAGAGAAGACGTTATTATGAAAAGACGAGGATGAGGATATACAAGTGGCGGCGATACATGGAAAAAAGAGAAAAGAAGCCTATTGAATAAAAGATTAAAAACAATAGTTAGAGAGAACGAGGGTACAAGGTGTGGGTCAAGAGTATCTTAAATGGCAAGTTCACGAGATTGCTAGAGTGCAAATTAAGTGTGAATATTTCATTCACTTACTTTGCATACACACACACACACACACACACTTGTAATCGCTCAGGATTTTCATCATAGTGCCTCAGCCAGGTTACAAATTTGTACAAGTTTCGTTTGACTGTGTTGCTAAACTTCCACTTCCCTCAGTCTATTTGTCAATCATTGACTGTCGCAATGGCACGTGGCGAGGCCAAGACTTTGGACTCCTCGTGAGTTATCTTGTGTTCATCGAACATTATTCTGACTTAGTTTTTGCAAGAAGACAAAATAATCTTTGTATCATAGTATTCCTCACACCATTGGATCCTTATAGTCCTCACATTACTGGACCCTGATATTCCACAAGCCCAAACACACAACAAACTCGCTTCTGTTTTATGGACTGACCATACGAATTTGAAGCATGGAAGTCGGGGTCCTGTGGCCACAGAAAGTGGCTACACGGAGCAGTAATATAATCCGGTTACAGGTACCGGTGATACTGGATCCGGTTACGGGTACCCGTGCCTGTAAACAGTCCTCGTAGCCCAGTGGTAAGACACCGGCACTTTGGCTTGGGTTCCTATCCTGGCCGGGGAGGATTGACCGGGCGCCAATCCTTAACTGTGGCATCTGTTCACCCAGCAGTGAATGAGTACCCGTTTGTTAAATGATTTGGCGGGTCGTATTGCGGGGAAAATTAGGATTAAGGACCTGCCCGAAACCCTATGCGTGCTAGTGGCTGTACAAGAATGTAAGAACTTTAGTATAAATAAACAAATAAAAGTACCGGTCATAGGGTCTGGCTACGGCAACGGCCAACAGTGAGCAGCTGCAGGTGTCAAGAGGTAATCTCTGCTCGTATATAACCCTACAATGTGTAGTCTTCTGTTAGTGGAAACTGTTGCACATTAGCCTCGATTTGATATTTATATTGCATTAGTGTCCCCCGAATTCGATTATTTCCATTTTATTTCACCCCTTGTATAAATATATATTGCGCAGGTCTTGCATCGCCCTTTGTAACTAGCCACGAGACGTAACTAAAACCTGTGAGCCCAATGACCGCCCACAGCGCGTTCCTAGGGCGAGATGTGCCCGTGTTTCACCACAACGTAACCCGGAGAGTATAGGGCATCACCTGACCACCTCTCGGGTTCGTGGGGGAGCCCATCACTGGTAATGGGAGGCCTAATGTCGCGCCACTGTGACGGAGAGCCATCACCAAATGGGTAGGAAACTTCGTGGAATGTGGGAGAGGGAGGATAGAGGGAGCAGAGCGCACCTGGATAGGTCATTGGTGGTGGAGTCCCGCTATGCTGGAGAGAGCAGTGTGTCTGAGATGCAGGTTAGGAGGCGTGGGGTGGAGTGTAACTAGCGAGGATGGGGGGGGGGGGGGCGAGGGGTGGGTGGGGGAGATGTCGGGGGGCTGGAAGAGCTTGTGGGAAAAAGTAGGTGTGGGTGAGGAGGAAGAAGTAGGTGAGGGAGGGCTGGGATATATGAACTAGACGGGAAAGAACTGGGGACGGCTACGGGCTCACTATAGCCCGTGCTACATGGACACTTCGTTCTGAGTAGCTAAATCTAAAGCAACAACAACAAAGAACTGGGTGGAGGAAATGAGTGAAAATAAAAGCGAGCAGGGGTGGAAACGGGCCGAGGAACCGAGGGAGGAAGATAATACAGGTCTAGTGTTGGAGAGAAGGGAAAGTATTGAAGAAAGTGACCGGTTCGAGAGAGTGAGGCGTGGGGATGGGGGGGGGGGGAGGTTGGGTGTGAGTTCCATGTAAGTTTGTAAGTTCTTACAGTATGAGGCACTCTACCGGCAAGTGTCATACTGTACCAGTGGTTCTGGTACATTTAAGTCAGTAGTGGTACTGACCATTTAAGGTTAGTTATATGCAAACGAGCAAGCACACTCACCCATTGTTGACATGGCCATGGGTGAACAACCACTATTGCTTTTTAATTGTTAATAGCATTCTCAACCAGTATATTATACTGCTGAAATTAATACAAGATAATGTGTGTCCAACGAGTCAATTAGAGTTTTGCAAGATGCCAATCACAACAGTAGAATGAAGACAATGTTGTGTGGTATTTTCTCCAAGTATCATGAACTGTTCCACACCGTCACAGAGCTGGGAGAACTTAACTACGGTGAATGGCGGAGAGAACTGAGCCTCACCGCATTAGACGGAAGATTATGACAACGTGACAGATACCTCACACCAATACTACCGTGGCTCAGAGTGTAGCAGTGTCTGGTAACCAATGAGTTTAATATGAACAGTATTAAATAATATGTAATATTGTTAGCGACTTCAATAATACTTTACATATTGAAGTTTGCACTGCGGTATGTACAAAGCCACCTTGGAAACTCACACCCACACACAAACACAGACACACACACACTGAGTTATATTGAGCTTTTTACCTCATGGTCCTCGGGTGAAATGGGTGGTAAGAAACATGATGAGTAGTCAGTTACCATGACACCTGGAGCGTCATTGCTCCAGATGTCATGGTAACTGTGAGAACCAGGCTAATATTCGCTACAAGGGCATCTAAATATAGTACAAAGAAACACAATGAAACTCAAATAGCAACAAACCATTTAAACTATGCCGTTCGTTTATTGAAAATTCACGAAGGAACAAGGTAATAATACGAACATTTGAAGAAAAATACTTTTGAAATGTATTTATAAATATATGTAAGGTGTTACTCTGAATTATATCACTTCGTGAGGCGCTCCAAATAATAATGTAATAAAGGAAAATGAACAGCATTTTTAAGTGAATTTGTTTCTCAATCATTTTAAAACAAAGGTTTCGTGTTATGATTGTCAAATGTTAGTATGTTTCAGAATAAAAATTGTCGTGATCTTTGATAATTATATTTTTTTACACAGGTGGATTTAGAAGCAGACTTCTAACTCCTGTTAGCAGGCTTAGAACTTTCTCTTCCCATAGCTCATGGTAAGCCCTGTCCAAGCCTCAACCACGGAGGCCTAGGGAGACCGATGGAGGTTCGAGGAGGCTCAGGAAACCCCTGGTAGGCCCAAGGAGGCCTATCCTAATTGGTTTAACAATCCCAGTCAACTAAACATGACAGACGAGGCTCTAAGTCTATCACTGGAATGTTGAATAAACTGCAGATCCGTGACTGAGACCACTAGCAAGAGACCACCACTAGCAAGAGACCACCACTAGCAAGAGACCACCACCAACAACAGACCACCAGCAAGACTATTTATGGATGTTTTCATTACACATCTCGCTGGTTACAAGAAATGGCTCGTGTCTTCGTTCTTAGTGACTAAGGAAAATATCTTCAACATCACTCAATCCAACTCCTCCCTGCTCTATTCAACACACTATCCACCGATTCCTTGTCTCATCCCACACCTTATCCACACGTTTCCGGCCCCATCCCCACACATAATCTAACCCCTTTTTGCCGTATTCAACACACTAGCCACCCCTTCCTTGACCCTATCCTACACTCCCTACCACCTCCCTGCCCCATCCAACACACTATCCACTCCTCCCTGCCCCGTGCCACTCTCAGAGATATGATACCCAGTTTGACACTCAAACGAACGTTGCAAAATCTTGCACTTTCAGAGGTTTTGGTAACTATCTTGCGTCTTCTCATACGCTTGCCCCTCTCCATGTCATGCCAGACACATGTCGGTGACACAGAATAATTATGAATTTCCAGAGCTTGGCCATAGGCCTAAATTTCATTCGTCAGAAGATCATAATTACAACCCAAGACACTCAGCCTTGTGCTGTAATTAACCTAAATTAATTACAACACAAGGGACACACACACACACAGTATATTCATTGAGAATTTCCTTTATTCTAAACGGTGTTCTGTATGCTTCTCGGTTGGACGTGAGATTATGACCTCTTGTGAGGCCATAATCTCCCTCCAGCGATTGATAGGCTCCTCGGACCAACTCCACACCTCAGAGGTGAGAACGTAAACACAATATCTAATGTGTTGGGCTCGAATACAAGACGGACATGTGATCCCTTCTTCCTCCCTCATCCTTTCCAAACCCTTTGGAAATCCAAGTTCAAGTTCATGTGGCTCGAGTAGGTCATCAACCTCGGACTTATAACTTTTCCTGGTGAATAGGATGGAACACAAACCATCTAACACAAGAGTATGTATAAACCTATTAATATAAACATATGATAAATTCTATACGAGATCAACTGCTTTATTATCCACTTTTCAAAATAATAACCGAGCTGAATGTGGCATTTTGTAGGCAACTGTTCGACGGTGGAGGATGGGGGAGTTGCGCGCGTGCAACACCTGCGCCGCGTGCAACACCTGCGCCGCGTGCAACACCTGCGCCGCGTGCAACACCTGCGCCGCGTGCAACACCTGCGCCGCGTGCTACACCTGCGCCGCGTGCTACACCTGCGCCGCGTGCTACACCTGCGCCGCGTGCTACACCTGCGCCGCGTGCTACACCTGCGCCGCGTGCTACACCTGCGCCGCGTGCTACACCTGCGCCGCGTGCTACACCTGCGCCGCGTGCTACACCTGCGCCGCGTGCTACACCTGCGCCGCGTGCTACACCTGCGCCGCGTGCTACACCTGCGCCGCGTGCTACACCTGCGCCGCGTGCTACACCTGCGCCGCGTGCAACACCTGCGGAGTCGCCACTGCATTTCACATGGATATACACATCGAAAAGTGTATCCCTTTTCCCTGTGTATATTTACTTTGAGTGTCCTTCACTCCTTAACCATGTTCAGCACTTAAGTTTGCACCGCGTCTCATCAGCCCAACCACTTGGGCTGGACGGTAGAGCGACGGTCTTTCTTCGTGCAGGCCGGCGTTCAATCCCCGACCGTCCAAGTGGTTGGGCACCATTCCTTTCCCCCGTCCTATCCCAAACCCTTATCCTGACCCCCCCCCCCTTCCAAGTGCTATATAGTCATGATGGCTTGGCGCTTTCTCATGAGAGCTTCCTTCCTTCTCGTCATCCTTTGCAGACGAGACTGATCATATCCGTCCTCAACCTTCCCCCCAGCCCGTCCTCAACTTTCCCCCCAGCCCGTCCTCAACCTTCCACCCAGCCCGTCCTCAACAACAAAGGTCAAATTCTGGTTAATCCGCCCGCCAACACCTGTTTATGAGTATGAATGAAAAACAGGTTTGCTTACGCAACCCGTCCTCGACTCAAGTCCATTACACCCAGCGGTCAACCCCACAGACGCATTCATAAATTTTAACATGCTGTTCATTCAAAACGGGAATTTTCTCAAGTATAAATTAATATTATAATATATTAGCATATTGTGCATATATAGGCATAGGATAGGTTAGGTCAGGTGTTTAGGTTCTGTTGGCGATTATTTGTATTTGTAGTACGTGGGTGAAGCATTTATAGTGTTGTGATTCGAACAAAATTCGTCAGTGAAGCACTTGTTCCGGATATGTTCGAACGTCAGCAGTTGTGAGTCGTGTGTAAACCGCTTTTCATTCATAAACAGGGGGTTTGGCGGGTGCGTGGAATCACTTTTGGATCTTTGTTTGGAGGACGGGCTGGCTTACGACTCGACTGATGACGATCGAACTTTTCTCGAACAGTGCTTCGATGACGACCTCTGTTCGAACCGCAGCTCTGTAAACAGCCCGTCCTCCAAACAAAGACCCAAAAGTGATTCCACGCACCCGCCAAACCCCCTGTTTATGAATGAAAAGCAGTTTACACACGACTCACAACTGCTGACGTTCGAACATATCCGGAACAAGTGCTTCACTGACGAATTTTGTTCGAATCACAACACTATAAATGCTTCACCCACGTACTACAAATACAAATAATCGCCAACAGAACCTAAACACCTAACCTAACCTATCCTATGCCTATATATACACAATATGCTATTATAATAATTTATACTTGCGAAAATTCCCGTTTTGAATGAACAGCATGTTAAAATTTATGAATGCGTCTGTGGGGTTGACCGCTGAATGTAATGGACTTGAGTCGAGGCCGGTTTGTTCCATGCACCCGCCAAACCCCCTGTTTATGAATGAAAAACGGTTTACACACGACTCAACTGATTTCGTTCGAACACTTCCGGAACAAATGCTTCATTGACGAATTTTATTCGAACCACTACGCTGTAAATGCTTCACCCACGTACTACAAATACAAATAATCGCCAACAGAACCTAAACACCTAACCTAACCAACGCGTAAATAGGTTCCATTAGCTAATATGTAAAAATATTAGTTTATACATGAGAAAATTCCCATTCGGAACGAACAGTATGGGTATGATGCTTACATCTCTGGGGTCGGCCGTTAGATGGAATAGTTTATAGCTTCATGGGCCTTGAAACCAACACCAAACTACTGTACAACAGTTGAAACCACAGAATAGTCCGGCGTACCTAATTATTAATCCCTGCCCTTGTAACGTGTTAATGCTCTAACAAAACTCAGCCATATAAAAATATAATTAATAATATATTTAAAATAAATAAATAAAATAAATAAATAAATATTTTAAATATATTAAATAATTTAATTAAATAAATAAATAAAATTAAATAAATAAAACAAAATTAATAAAATATTTTAAAATAATTATTTACTTACCTTGTGTTGATCAAGCGCCGATAATCATCGTAGTATATTTTCCCTCGAATGGATTTTCCCAATCATGTTTCGGAAAGCATTTCCTAACACCTCACTTCCTCCACGTAGTAAGTTCTGAGATGCAGAGAATACAATTCTTTCAATATTCAGATTAACTTTGTATAATGTTTGACACACGGGAGGTACATCACACTGAGTATATCTATGAACCGACAAGACTACGTTCCACCGTCACTGTCGTCAGCCGGGGACACAATGAAGAGTGACCAACTCTCATACCCACAGCTATCAGCGACAGGCCTTTGGTTTTCTCCTCTTAATGATACGTTCGAATTGCATAAATATTCCCCTCCACCCTTTCCATTTATGCTGTTGTTGGTTGGTTGTCCATTTATGCACATCGGTTGTGTATATACGCGTTGAGGACTGAATTAGAATGGCTAGGGATGATTAGTAAGCTATTGTGGTGGCCATAATTTCCCACCAGAGGGGTAATAGTACCTACGATGTGCAATAAACCGGACGAGTGGTTATCCACTATTATCGGTTATCCACAGAGTTGCAGAGAGCATATTTTCACCGCCTGTGTTGTGTCAGAAGATAGACACACTGTATGGCAGACTCAGCTATTATATATATGAGGTTAAGCTATAAATGTGTGGGAATAAATACTGAGCATTCACCTCGTTCTCTCAATTTGGTACAAAAAAGTAATAATAAAACAGTTTTGCCTAACTAGAAACGTACTAACCCAAGCAACCCACCTAACCAATTGAAGCCGAGGCAGAAAATACGTAAATATTACGAAGCTTAATTTTGCAAATAAATCATTGCATTTTTAACAAATTGGTAAATTCCGCAAATAATGCAACGTATTAGATGCAAGGGAGGGTTGAAACAGATTATCTTGTCAGGGGTTTAAACGGATTCTTGAAGACGAGTTTTCTTTTTTACCCATTACACACCAAAAGTACCTTCACCCCCTCTACTGTTAGTGTAGGAAGGTCTACCTGCCCTTCACCCTTCCCTTGTTATAATAAATAATAATAATAATAAATTTTTATTCAGAAAAAGTACATACATAGTTGATTTACAAATATTTATTTGAATTTATAGTTAAATTTATTAAATTAATTATTTAATGTAATAATTTAATAATTTAGTAATTAAAAAAAATAAATTAAAAGTTGAATTTATAGACAGAGGTAGTACATACAATACCCAAAGGCACTAATATACATAGTGTTTCGGGCAAAAATACTTTTTATAATGTTGTATGTTATACCCTTTACAAGCACTGCTATATCTGTTACATTTGATGACGTTGTTACATGCTACCTGTATGATCAAAATAAACTCAAAACTACTTTCAACTAGTGTTGAAATGACATAAGTGAAATGTAATATTGATTTCAAGTTTGTGATGTTCTCGGAAAGACCTGAACTCTTACGACCAAAGGATGTACACTCACACAAAATCCTCTCCGTGTTTCAGTGTATATGTACCGAGAGTTTATTCTAGTCCTGGACAATGTTCAGGACTAGAGTAAGAACTAGAGCTTTCTTAAGAACTTTCCTGTGGTTAAGATCATAAGAAATTAAGGAAACTGCAACAGGTCCATTGCCCGATAGCAGGCGGCTCACTTTACGAGAAGCTGATAGACCTCGAGCCCAACATCGAACTAGATGTACTTTAAGCACTTTCAATTTGTTCATATGGACAGTGAGTGATTATTTTCTCCTCGTCCACATCAGCTGCAGACTTACATTTCGTGAGCTTCAGATTTCGGCGTTACAGAGATTTCCTGGCCTTGGATTGCTCCTAACTGCTGAGACGATAGGAAAAAATATGATTCTAACAATATGATAAACACCTTCTCCAACACACCTTTATAATGTCTACGTGAGCTGAGTAGGTTTGATCTTTTGGAAAATATGTTATTAAATATGCGAGTATGTACTCATTTAACTGTGAGCATAGGGTCGAGTGTCAGATGTTGATCACCTGTGTGTGTGTGTGTGTGTGTGTGTGTGTGTGTGTGTGTGTGTGTGTGTGTGTGTATGTGTGAGAGAGAGAGAGAGAGAGATCGCGCAAAACATCTATAATAATCAGTGGTTCACAAAAAAATCGGACTTACTTCATAACAGCAATGATAATTGTACACACTGGAAACACCTCATATAAACAAAGTAGTTATACAATTTCATTTCATATTTAATTCTTGGCAATAACACGATAATTAAGCTGCCTATTTTCATCCATTAGCCGTGAAGAGACTGTTCACCACCTACGTGGCCCCCAGTGCCATACCTATTGGCCTCTGTGCCACACCTACCTGGCCCCTGTGCCACACTTACCTGGCCCCTGTGCCACACCTACTGGCTCCTATGCCACACTTACCTGGCCCCCAGTGCCATACCTACTGGCCTCTGTGCCACACCTACCTGGCCCCTGTGCCACACCTACCTGGCCCCTGTGCCACACTTACCTGGTCTCTGTGCCACACCTACTGGCCTCTGTGCCACACCTACCTGGCCCCCAGTGCCATACCTACTGGCCTCTGTGCCACACCTACCTGGCCTCTGTGCCACACCTTCCTGGTCCCTGTGTGGCTCCTATGCCACACTTACCTGGCCCCCAGTGCCATACCTACTGGCCTCTGTGCCACACCTACCTGGCCCCTGTGCCACACCTACCTGGTCTCTGTGTGGCTCCTATGCCACACTTACCTGGCCCCCAGTGCCATACCTACTGGCCTCTGTGCCACACCTACTGGCTCCTATGCCACACTTACCTGGCCCCCAGTGCCATACCTACTGGCCTCTGTGCCACACCTACCTGGCCCCTGTGCCACACCTACCTGGTCCCCTGTGTGGCTCCTATGCCACACTTACCTGGGCCCCGTGTCAACACCATCACTCACAACGGAATCACCACTTACCATGATCTGGGAGGACCGTCAACACAAAAGATGCAACAACTATGGTTCTCTCTAAGTGTCTGCTTCTATTAACAATTTTATCCTGAGGCAATGAGAGTGTGGGTGTGGTAGTGGGTGTAGTGGTGGTGGATGAGGGGGTGGTAGTGGTGGTGGATGAGAGGATGGTAGTGG